ATATTATCAAGATTAGACATGAAAGTTTGTAGAAAAAAAAAGTTAATTACAGTGCCATTTCAAGTACAATGCCTCTTTACAATTTACATAATTGATAATTATTCCCCTGCATTTAAACAGACATAGTTCATAGTCTGATTAAAACTTTTTCTGCCACTGCCCTTATTTGGTTAAATGAAAGTGAAAGCAATACACTTTCTAGAATATAAAATGCTTACAACCAGATAGATTTGTTCCTGCACAATATCCAGAAAACATAGAATTCACAGAAAACAACATATTGCGAAGTATAAATTTAGCATTGTACCATGCATTAGTGACACAGATTTCAAAGAAAATTTTCGTTTTCAAGTTTATATTTCACAGTAATGTTTCACGACAATTGGAGCAGAGTATTACTTGATTATGCTGATTATGCAGTTGACACAAATTCACTAATGAGTTGAAGCTGGAGAAAGGACAAACATTTAAAAAAACATCGGATCATATGGTATATATATATATATATATATAATATATATATATATATATATATATATATATATATATATATATATATATATAATATGAAATATAAATTCAAGATTGGAAATTGTTATGAGGAACGATTTCATTCCAAAACAAATACATCGGGAAATTATTCATCTAATCCTACCTTGATTTTAGCTAATCATATCGATCATTCTAATTATACATTGTACTCCTGTAAATAGCGACTGACATTAAACGATATAGAAGGAATGAATAGATTTTGAGCTGTCATTATCATTTGAATTAATTATTATAATGATGTGGCTTAAATAATATACGTTGTGACAATTAATAAATAGAAATGAAAAAAAAAATAACAAATTGACAAGTGGAAAATAAATAAGTTTAAAATGCCCAAAAATTGACATGTGTCAAAGTCAATGAGAAATTGACATTTGGCAGAAAGTTTTTTATTTATTAGGGTAGATTCGCAACTTCTCAAGCTTCCAGCTCATTAATTTTCTATTATTTATAAATTTTACTGTCGTTAACAAAAATAGAGGCACAATTTCGTAGACATGTACTTGACATCAATGTTCTAAATAACGTAAAGCACGACTTGGCGGCAATGTCAAGCCTCAAGTTTTTTTGAGTCGTGGCGATCCATATCGTTTGTAAAGCGTGACTTAAGGCGACAATTTTGTATATAATTAATTATTTTATATGTATTTTCTACTATTATTCATTTTTATATACATATATGACTTAAGACGGCATTTTGTCAAAGCTTGGCGGTAATTACAAGCCTTGGAGCCATGGCACGCCATGACGAGCTTTTTAGAACATTGCTTGACATACATTACACAACCTCTTATACTTATCAAACTTTGATACTAATCATCATCGATCATTCCTTTCTTGTTCTCAATTCATTTGTTAGGTGATAATGTTAGAGCACATGTGACATTGCCAGAAAAGGCTACTATTGTGCATGCAGTATAGTATATGGGGACTCAATTATGGATCAATAGGATAAAAATAATCTAAACACTTTGACTAAAGCAAATTTGTCCCCCTAAGGAAAAGATTTTGTGGTCGAAAAACCAACAAGAAGACTCCCCACTAATAGGAGACCAGCATATATGATTTCACATTGCTTTGATGCATTTGGTTTTGGCTGTATGTGTCTTTATGGAAGAAAGATGCCATCAAAGCTAATCCCAATTTAACTAGTTCTGCGCATATCATTTTAACCACAAGAAAGACATAAGAATTCAACTACATTTGAATTTACGATATCGTTCATCATTTTTCTAAACTTCAAGCTAACTGTTTGTTATGTTATACATGTAAGTTTCTCTTTAATCTACTACTAGTCTGCAAGGTCATTAGCTTGTTTTATATCTCCGATGATAGGTTCATGATATTCCATGAGGAGGCATCATAGACTTACATGTCTTTTTTCACTAATAAAAAGGGTACATGTCCTAGGCTTAAATTAAAAGAATCTAGGATATGTTGTTGATTTCTAATTTTCCATGGCTTAAAATGACATTGTCAGTGGATAGGTGACACTCATGTGGGAAAAAACATCATAAATGGTTCCTGTGTTTTTCCAAATTCTGAAGTTTAGTCCCTGTGGTTTAAAAACCTCATAGATGGTCCCTGTGTTTTCAAAACTTTTGACGATTGTTCCTTATTGCTAACTCCGTTAACTTTTGTCCGTTAATTGAGGGGCATTTTCGTCATTTCACACCACAGGGACCATTTATAATCTTTTCAGTTATTTTTTAATAAAAGAATAAAAAATAAAATAATATGCAAAGGGGTTATACCCTCTCTCTCTTCCTTTCGTTCTTATATCACCAGCCGCCACAACCACCATCGTGTTTCTCACTCTTTGCTGTTGATCGGAGCTAGCCAAACATCCTCACATGTGCTGCTGTTACTGCTTGCGTCGCTCCATCGGACCAGCTCCCTCCGACCACCTGTCACCGTTCACCACCCCTCCCTTTCAGTTCATGTCGGCAGAAAACAAACGAGCAAGGCAGTGGAACTGTCATTGCACGCCGCCACCACCCGCTGCCACCGTGAGGACTCCGATCACCACCACCTACTGTCTCTTTCTTTCGTTGATCCCATCACGACCCATATTTTCTTCTCTACTCTTGTACCTAGTTGTCGTTCGGTTTTATGGAGGGTTTCCCTCCAAATCTTGATCCCGATGTTTCTACGTCATTGGAAGGACAATTTGATAAAGCAAAATTAGGCTCAAAATCGGTTACTGTTTTCACCTCGAATCTTCCTTCTGGTTCTTGTCAAGCTAATAAAGTGTCTATATGTGTTAAGAAATTCAATCCAGATGAAAAATTGGCTAAACCTAGGGTTACCAGTTTGGAAAATAGCGATCTTCTGAAGAAATTGAGCTCCAATCCTCTGATTCAGTTACATTACAGGTATGCCCTCCCTCCCTCTTCACTATTTTTGATTCGATCAAAGCCACTCCTCCTCTTTTCCTTTTCGTGTTTTCTGCAGATTTAACGGGTATGCCCTCCTCCCCTATCTACAACCAGGCTCCTTACCCCCTCTGATCATCTCGATGGTTGTCTGATCATCTAAGGAATAATTTAAAAACCCACACGTACACACAAATCGGTACCTGATGTTCTTGGTTAATTTTTTTATTCCTCTTCCATCCAAAATGAAGTTTTGTCTTAAAGTTTTGGTTTTGTTTGACTGTGTTTGATTCTTGGTTTGTCTGTTTACAAGCATTAAAATCGATAGCTCCTCCTATAAATTTGATTCTAGTCTTTGTTTAATTGTTTTTCATTATCGGCTTGCTTCTTTAATTCTCGGCTCTGATGGATTCTTGGGTTGTTTGACTATTGGCTTTGTTTGACTGTAATTGAAATCAACTGATTCTTAGTTTGTTTGATTAATCATGCATATGGTTAAGGATTGTAAAGAACTCTTATCTCCTCTTATCTTGTCTCAAACTGCCGGAACTTTGTCAAATCAAACAGTTGGAGACGAATTGGGTTCAAGATCGTCGGTGCTAAAAGGTTGCTTTGGTTGGAGATGACAGGAGGGAAAAAGGGGGTCGTGTGTGATGTTTCCGGAATAGAGGGAGGAGACATGTGTGGTGTTTTTGGGATGGAGAAATCAATGGTCAGTAATGGAATGGTACTCACCGAAAGTACCTATGTCGCTTTTCTGGAACAGGGCACCCACTATCAAACATTGAGAGAGAGAGAGAGAGAGAGAGAGAGAGAGAGAGAGAGAGAGTTTTTATATATTAAATACTTATATTTAGTTTTCTTAAAAAAAATAATTGAAAAGATCATAAATGGTCCCTGTGGTGTGAAATGACGAAAATGCACCTCAATTAACGGACAAAAGTTAATGGAGTTAGCAATAAGGACCATCTGTCAAAAGTTTTGAAAGCACAGGGACCATTTATGAGATTTTTAAACCACGGAGACTAAATTTCAGAATCTGGGAAAACACATGGACCATTTATGATGTTTTTTCCTCATGTGGGTAAGGGATGTCTCCAACTATATAGTTAGAAAAGTATTAATGATTTAAAATTGTATTTGCTTATTCTTTTTTGTTTCTAATGTTATTTTTGTCTTTTATCTTAAAAAATGAAATGACGCAATTAATTGGATTTCTTGGACCGACATTTTCTTTATCCTAATTAAGTTATTTTAACTCTCATGATATTGTTGTCTTGTGCATGGCTTATAATATGTTTTTTTTTTACTATTTTAGGAACAAAGATGTTAAAAAAAATGGGGGCATATGTGAAACTAGTTTCAAAAGGAATAATCGTTACTACGTTACTACATATATGGAACATGACTTAGAAAAAAAAGTTGTTAAAAGTGATTGTACCAAGAATAAAACATGAGTAAAAATGATATATTGCTCTTATCAAACTTCTCAATCAGCCTCAAAAGATGAAGTGGATATGAATGTCATGTTGCAGCACTCAAGGAGAGCTTTAAGAAACAAGGAGAAGTCAAACAATGTGAAGAAAGTTATGAAAAATGTTAAAATTTATGATGTCGAAGTATCTTGAATTTCATAACATAATATGCCCATCTAAAAAAGATGGAGATCATATGCATGATGACATAATAGATCATTCATAGCGATAATGAAGTTGATAACAAATGAAAATTTTCAAGTAGCGATAATGAAGTTGATAACAAATGAAAATTTTCAATAGAAAAAAACAAAGAAAGAGGAGTTCTGGTGGTGTTTAATTTTGACCAAAATTCCATGTGGCACTCATACAGGTCATATAAGAACATTTTAAAACGGTCAATGTGACTTTATTCCCTTAATGTAAAATAAAATAAAAAAAAATAAAAAAACTTAAGTGACGGTGACAATTTGTTGAGCTAATATGACATTTTCCCAAAACACAAAAAAGTTTCTTTACTTTCATACCCTCCTCGTGGCTTAAATATTAACATCATGGTTTTATTGATAAAAAACAATTCAAAAATCTCCACGATCTTCTATATTTGCTCCTGTTCAGCTTTGATAAACATCAGGGTATGGTTGGCATAACTTGACTCTAAAACTAATAAAATCACATTAACATCAAATCAAGAGATAGTTAATCAGATTATGATGGTTTGGTTACAAGATAATAAGTTAGATATAATACGCTTAGGCCCTTCATCTAATTCTTGTAACAAATTGTCACCAAAAAATAAATATTACCTAGAAGTAGGTGATCGGCTCCAACAATGATCGACCTCTTCTTTCTGTCTTTCTTTTCTTTCTTCTTTCTGTCTTTCTGTCTTTCTTCTTTCTTCTTTCTACTTTCTCTTTTCTTTCTTTCTTCTTTCTTTTTGATTGCTACCAATCAAACCTTCTTCTGTTGTTGTTGCTGACCTGCTGCTTCTGTTGCTCTCGTTGCCCAGCAGCCAAAGGCTCCTCCCACCGAAAGTTGACTCTCAAACCAGCCCTCTTCAACCTGCTCTGATACCAAATGTTGGAACAGGCCCTCAAGTTTACAGACTTTATTGCCTGATTTTTCAGGAAGGAAAATGTAGGAAGAAAGAAAGAAGTGTTTGTGGGTTATTTGCTGCACTATAATCAGAAAATAAAAGGCTTCAAATAGCCTGCACATACCAATCCGAAGTAAAACAAAACAACCTAGAACCTAGCTACTACTCCTAGATAATAGGACACATTCAATGACCAAGTACATTCACGTGCATTTCCCATGAACTGGTCAACCACCTTTATTCTAAAGCTAAATAAAACAAATACAAAATATTAACCAATACACATCAATAGATTATCCAACACCTACTACATCCCATTATTAGTTGGTAAAGTTTATTATTCTTTACATTAAGGGTACAACTTCATATGCTCGTACCATTGACAAGCCGGTCACTAATCGTGTAGTTTGCTACTCAGATATAGATTAGATATAGATTGGGCTAGATGTATTGAGACACAAAAAATCCACATATGGCTACTCCACTTGGGTGATAATCTTGTTTCTTGCAGTGCAAAAAGCAACTAACAGTTTCTATATCAAGTTGTTAATAAGAGTATCAAGAGTATCAGGCAATTGCAAACACAGTTGTAGAAATCATATGACTTACTCATCTTTTAAGGGAACTCCATGCTCTACCAGCAAATCGACCCACTTTTTTATGTGACAACAAAAGTGTTTTATTAATTAGCCAAAATCCTATCTCTCACATAAGTGCAAACACACATTGATATGCAAACACACATTGATATTGACTATCACTTCATCCGTAAGCTTGTGTCATCCGGTCGATTATACACCGAGTTTGTACCAACAAAGCTTCAAGTGGCTGATACATTCAGTAAATGTATTCCACGTCGACCATTGTTTGAATGCTTTCGTGGCATATTACCTGTTAGTCCCCAACCAATCAGCTTGAAGGGGGTAATAGTTCTAAATTAGTTGTACGTAATTAAATCAAGTCAATATGCATACTAAGGCTATGTTTGGCGGACTAGATGAAAAGCTAGTTGTTAGCTGAAAAGCTAGCTGTTAAATAAAAAATTAGCTGATAGCTGAAAAGCTAGCTGATAAAAAATAACGTTTGATAAAACTAGCTGAAAAGCTAGCTGAAATATATAAAATTACATAAAAGGACATGTAGGAGTATGTGTGTTTATAATTAATTAAGGGGTGTATTTGGAAAATTTTAAAAAAGCTCCTAAAAAGCTAGTCTAAGTAGCTTTTCAAAAAGCTAGCTTAAAAGCTACTTTTTGGCTTACCAAACACGATATCATAAAAAAGCTCGAAAAATAAGCTAGCTGTGGCGCGTCAAACACAGCCTCATAGGAACTTAAATTCGTCAACCATTGTGATAGACGGCTCCTTATTCATAGGAGCTAATTCTTTGTAATTTGTGTATTTATACCTTGTATCTCTTTTCTTTTCATTTAATTTTGAAGATTAACATTCTTTCACCAAGCTTGGATTATTACCATATCCTCCTGTTTGGGCGGCCTTGTTAGATATGGTTCACATGCTTATCACATGCTTACAAGTTGTAAAGTTAATTAACTAACAAAATATGTTACAAGTTAGTCGCCTTTGAAATCGAAAGACACTATGTTTCTTCTTAATTATTCATTGCAGCTTCTCTTGTAAGTGTTCATTCAATCAATGAGAAAAACCTCTCGGTACTCTTTTATCATTCAATCATAACAGTTAATAACTCCATTTTGGTGCAACTTACAAAATCATATGAGTTCTAACTCATTGCACTCTATGTACAGTCAATGCAAACACAGGCACAATGATTTAAAGAAAATTTTGTTGAAGAGACACCAAGAGATTTGACAGAATTCAAGGACCTCGCACTGGGCCAAAACAGAAACACCCAGCAGCAGCAACTTGATCTTCAGGTATCATACCTCCGCCCTTAGTGGTATCAATGGCCTCTAGTAACTTCACAACTTCAGGCATCTCTGGGCGCTTGTCAGGATTTGCATCCCAACATCTCCTCATTACGTTTGCTAAAGAACTTGGACAACATCTTGGTACTTCTGGCCTCAGATTCTAAAAAATTTTACACAAAAGTTATTAAAATTAAGTGACAACATGTCCAGAATACCAGAAAATAGTATCTTAAAAAGAGCAAACAGAAGTAGTTGGTTTACATGCCGAACAACTGCTGATGAGACTTCAGCAAAACTGAGAAATGGGTACGGAAGATCACAACAATAAGTTTCCCATAAGCATACACCAAAGCTGTAAACATCACATTTTCTGTTATAAGGCTTTCCTTCGAGAACCTGGGGAAACACATTTTTGATTTTTCATATTAGAGATAAGAAGATCAAACTTAATATGACACTTTATAAAGCTCAATGATTAAGATCACCTCTGGAGCCATATAACCTAATGTTCCAGTTTCACCCGTCATGTCTTTGGGATTCTGAGCTTCAACACGAGCAACACCAAAATCGGCAATTTTGAGCTTCCTATTAGTATCTAACAACATATTTTCGGCTTTAACATCACGATGGACAATCTTCTTTGAGTGGAGGTAGCTCAATCTGCAAAATTGTTACATTCATTAACGATTTAAAGGATGTACTTATGATACAATAGAAACTCACCCTCTTGCAAGATCCAAAGCGAGTTGAATAACAATTTTGTACGGAAGCTTCTTCTTCCTATTCCTGTATAATAATCCTTTTAGGGTTCCGCCTCTAAGAAATTCTACCACCACACAACAAGCCTTTGATGGAAGTTCAGTAGGATCATCACTTGAGTTTTTAGTAGGAATCTTGAGATTTGAAGTCCCCATTGAAGCACCAATAAACTGCAACCCACTTTCTGATAGTTAAGAACACTAAAAGAAAAGAAAATACTTTTGATGCATACAAATATGTCGAGTACGTACACTAGTAACATTTGGATGATCTAACTTTTGCCAAACAGCAACTTCTTGCTGGAATGATGCTCGTAAAGCCGCCAGTTCATTAGTAGTAGCCATGTCATCCTCTCCCCAATCCAACAGTTTCACTATATAATACAATAACGATATATTTGTATAATGTTTAAATATAGAGAGGAGATCATCAAAAGGGAAAAGTTTTCATCACTAAATTAGTAGCTTTTGGATGAGTAACGGGTCATAAAAAAAAAAAAAAAAAAAAAACCTTAGTAGGAGAATATAATAAGTTATCATCGTTTGTTATTTCCTCTCATACCCTAGAAAACTTTAAAAGAAACTAAGCTTAATTCAATACACTTTAAAAAGCCTTAGAATCGATTTTCATGACAACTTAGAGGTCCCGTGTTCAAATCACATATTTTTTTTATCGCTCACATGATCACTACAGATGTACAGTTTTGGATGGATGTTTTCTAACATGGCTATGCATGCATGCCATTGTCATCACCAAAGAAAGTTAGTTTTTTTCTTATATTACCAAATCTACACAAGATAATCTTGGAGGGTGTCCCACATTCCTATGCTCATTTTGGATATGTCCTAAGAACAATGGGAGTTCTTGTAGAAGCAAGAGAAAAGTACTTAAGTACATACCAGCAACATCTTGCCCATCATAAGTGCCACGATAAACCGTTCCATAAGCTCCTCGAGCAATAAGATTCCTTATTTCCAACTTAGCCAAATCAATCTCCCATGGTTCCTTTGGCCTATTAGGTTCTACATTTCTTGACCAAGCTCGGCTCAGGTGCTTCTCTAGGTGCACATCCAAGCATTTGAGATCAATTTCATCAGCTCTAAACAACATGTCATTGGTGCTTGCAGATTTCTTGCACTCCCCCAACGTGTCTTTCTCTCCAACACTTTCCACGTTTTTCAACTTTGATTCAGAAACCTCAGGATTTGGGTTATCTTCGATTTCCCCATTTGTTCTAGAATCCATTGTCTCTAAACACAAAGGTTAATTATTCACATAGAAAAAAGGATATAAAAATACACCTACATCAACATATCTATAAAGATTAGAAATTGATATAATGTTATTCAAAGAAGACTCTAAATGCAACAAGTAGAATGAATAGACTCAGAAAATAGAATATTACATACGGTTTATATATATTTATAAAGGTTCATGGATAGAAACCAATACTTTCATCATGGTTTAATTATGATTGGCTTATCATGTAAAAGATCGAATCATGCATGCATGTTTCGATCCAAGGATGATTACATGACACCACCACATGTCAACATTAAGAGACAAAAAGTGAACACGCACCTTGCTTAATTAGAAATTGTAAGATAAAGATGGAAATGACAAACACCCTGAATTCAAAAACTTAAAACCAGGAATTTTAAATGTGTGAAGAGTGAGAGACGAGACAGATGGGAAAAGGGAAGAGAGAAACAAAAGTTGACTACACCTAAATAATTGGAGAATGAGAAAGAGATAGTAGTGGCTCAGGAGTCACATGATGGATTACGCCAATTGATAGAATGAGAAAATTATGGTAACAAAGCTTGAAGATTAACTTCTCGATATGAAATTAGCCTTATATTTTGCGAAATCAGTGGGATAAAAAAAAAAACTAGAGGTATCGAAATGTGTGAACCGTAGCTTCTAATCTCATTACCTCACATACTTCGAAAAATAAGACGCGCCTTTTATCTCATAAATATCATTTTACCCTTTCTTACAAGATTTTCTCAAGGGGCTACAATTATAGGTCTTTGCTACAGTTCAACAATTATCACGTTCGTCAATGGTATCTTATTTCCGTCACAATAAATAGTTTCTGTTCCTAAACGTTATTAAAATATATAAAACTGATTGTCTTTAGCAAGGACACGTCCTCCTCTCTAAACTCAACCAACAGAAATCAAGTGTAAGCAAGGAATCTGCGATCTTACTCTTTGGGCAGAAGGTGCAGACGTAAACACAGAGCAGAGGAAAAGACGTAAACACACGCCCTCCCCAGCTAATTTTCCCGCTCAAAATATCTAACTGAAATTCCACATTTACCCTTGAAGGCTTAAAGTCAAACATATTATGACTAATCGATAATATCCAAAAGATTCAGCAAGAAATTAAGAAATCTTCTATTGTTCAATCGTTTCTGCCCTTTTTGATCAGATTGATATATAAATCACTTTGTTAAAGAAGAAGAACATCTTGTAAGTCCTGCAACATATGTTAATTTTGGTTTTCCTTTTGTTAATTCATCTGAAAGAAGGGTGTTTTTTTTACTATTCACTAGGAGAAATCATTGAACCAAGTGAGGGAATTGCTATCGCATGGTAAACAGCTCCTCAATCACCCAAATTTTCGTGTTGACTAGTAATATTTGGATAAATCCACGAAATCATGTAGGTAATCGTTTCCTATTTTATTCTTCATTTTCTCTATTTCTGCAGATATAGATAGGTCACAAAAAGGTATGGAATTTGAATTTTGAAATCCCTTATCTCCGGCCCATATATCGTCTCACTTCCCCTATATCTCCCATTCTCCCTTCCTCTTCTTTGTGATCGTGAACATGAAAAGTAAACTAAACCCTACGCAACGACCTTTGCAATCTGATGGTGATGGTTTCGCCTTCAACCACCTACCACCATGGGGTTATCACCGGAATCACACGGTGCAATCTTCAACCACTTTCCAGATACTCTCTCTCTATTTCTATTTGATTTATTTCCCTTAATGTTTTCATTGTAATCACTGGGTTTTCTTCACTATTTGAGAATTTGCATTTTCGAATTCCATATTTTAATGGTAGAATGGCGATTTTAACTAGAAATCTGACAATGAACCACTGATAGAGGTATGTATCTACGTTTATTGGCTGCAATTTTTCTTATCTTTTAATATCTTGGTTTTCAAAACCCTAGATCTTTTGCTCCTTGCAGTTTGTAACATTTACAGACATAGGCTTCGTTTGGTTGCAACAAAAATAAACAAAAAATGTAAAGTTTGGTGTTTGTCCAAACTTTTTTTTGAATTACTATTGTTGATATGTGTGTGTTAGTGTCTATTTATGAGTGTGATTTGTGTATTTGTGTTGTGTGTGTGTGTTGTGTGTGTGCTGGTGTTTGAAAAAAACTCACCTACAGATCTGTCAAGGCTTTATTGGGAAGTGATTTATTTGTTTCTTTCATATATTATTATTTTTTGGGATTATGGATTTGATTAATGAACTTATGATGGTATTGAAAAGTGACAGGGCAATATATTGTGTCATGTTTTCTCCTAAGATTGTTGTAATAACAATAGATTTGTATGTAGAACTTCTTTTATGTGTCATGACAAATGGGTGTGTATTTTCAGGTGGTCTCAAGATGTAGAATGAGAAATTTGTGGTTAGAGTAAAGTTTTGGATGGATGCAAATGGCAGAACCTGTGATGAAACTACATACAAAATCAACTTGATTATTCTATTGAAACTAAAGAAAATGCGTTGGTATGTCATAATCGGGATGCAGATATGGGTTTTGTATTTCCTCAGGAAAAAGTGATGTTGCATCATCTTGAAAGAGTCTTGGCAAATAACCCGTTGTTGTCAAAAGTGGTCGATTTATTGTTGAAGTGAAGCCTCATGTATATATTGTCAAAATATTTTCATTTATTTTAAATTTCTAAATTGTAAGTTAGAGCTTATTAGCTCTTTGATGCATTGCAGGTTTGCCCCAAGGAGAGTGTACTCAAAAACCATTAATGTGACCCCAATCATCTCCTTTCACACGTGTTGCAATCCTAAGCTGATGTGTCTTTTTGATCCAACAGAAAAAAATTAAATACAAGATACATAAAATGAATCAATGGATAGAATTTCTCCCAAAAAACTATTTCATGTAAATATATATGGTAAAAGCTAAAATATAGCACTACGAGTTCCCGCCATTCTTTCCCAATTTCATATACAAATTCTAATATGTCCAACTTTTAAAGTAAATGTACTCTCTGTCTCTCTCTACTCATGTGATTATGTATTTTTCTTTCTTTCTCCCTATTTATCTTTTGTTATTGTATTCCATTGAAATGAATAGATTTAGAACAATGTAATTTTTCTTTCTTTCTCCCTATTCATCCAAATAGATCTGAATATTGTTGTTTTTTTTAACTGCAAACCACTTATTATGTATTAGTTTTGCTATTTTAATTTGTTAGTCCGTGTATCACAAGGGTTTTATCCTAGTAATAATAATAAATCACAATATGATATGATATTCACTCTTAGCATCTTTCATAAAATTACAGAATTACTCCAATTCCCCCCCCCCCCCCCCCCCAACAAACAAAAATAATAATAATAAATCTCAATATGATATGATATTCACTCTTAGCATCTTTCATATGTAAGCATGAATAATTTCCCATGAAAACCCTCTTTCATTCGTATCACCATATATATATACGAGAGTGAAAATATATAGAAACATGCCTAACAATAAAGGGCCAAATACACTAAAGATAAATACATAGGGAAAATATAAATAATAATACACTAACAGCCCCTCGCAGTTTGAACGTGGGGAAAGATGGACCGAAAATCAAGAAACAATGGTGAGGGAAGGCTCTTCGTGAAAATAGTTGCATACTGATAAGAGGATGACACATGAAGAACACATACATGACCTGTTGCAACTTTGTCGCGGACAAAGTGCAAATAAATTTCGATATGCTTCGTATGCTGATGATGAATCGGGTTAGAGGATATGTAAAAAGCACTCACATTATCACAATAAACTATAGTGGCTTTGGTCAAAGTATAGTGAAGTTCAAGAAGAAGATTATGAATCCAACAAGCTTTAGTGACAGCATTGGCAACACCCCGATACTCAGCTTCAACACTAGACCGAGAGATCGTATTTTGACGTTTGGATAACCAAGAAAGAAGATTGTGTCCTAAAAAGACATAATAACCCGAGGTAGAGCGTCTCGTGACAGGACACCCATCCCAGTCGGCGTCAGAATAAGGAGTGAGGGTACGACTTGGAGAGGTATATAGTTGAAGACCATGAGCAGTGGTACCCATAATGCAAGATGCGCTTCAAAGCTGTGAAATGAGGCCCCCTTAGGTCATGCATACATAAACATATCTGTTGAACTGTATATGTGATGTCAGGCCTAGTAAATGCCAAATACTATAAAGCACCAGCCAAACTTCTATATAATGTGAGGTTAGCGACTGGAGGACCAGTGCCATCAAACCTAGCGGATAAATCAGATGGAGTGGATGCAGGTTTACAGTTGGTCATGGAAGTCGGGTCAAGAATCTCTGTAGCATATTTTGTTGAGAAAAAAACCATCCGCCAGTCGTGCAAGTAGCCGAGACACCTAAAAAATAATGAAGATTCCCCAAGGTCTGTTATAGAGAACTCATAACTCAATAAAGAAGTGATATGAGTCAGCAGCTGAGTCGATGATCTTGTAAGAACAATATCATCTACATAAAGTAACAAATATGTTATGTGAGTGCCCTTTCGATAAACAAATAAAGAGGACTCACATATGTTGTAAACAAAGCAATTACGAGAAATGAACTGGGCAAAGCGCTGAAACCAGGCATGTGGTGCTTTGTTGAGACCATATAACGAACGCTGAAGTAAGCAAACGTAATCCATATTTATCGGGTGTGAGTTAGATATCTTAAACCACCCATGATCCATCGGAGTTCTTTTCTCGTCTTTTGTCGGCTCAACTTTTGGTTATATTGGATACTAGGATGGGTTGTAATCTGCCATGCTCTTCTCTTTAAGCAAACTCTTGGAGTACACGGTTTGCTTCGAGCTAACTAATAGGCTATATTTATTCAACATAGTCAACTCTCTAACTTAGGATATTATTGTGTACTAATTTGTATTACTTATATACATCATTCTTTGTAATTATATAGTAAGTCCTTCATGATAATAAAACTCATTCTGGTAAAATTATCCCTCTCTATATGGTATCAGCCAGATAAGCGATTCTCCTCTTTCCCCATTCGCTAATCTCAAACCCTATCTCCATCCAGTCGACCTCGGCCATGTTGACTCCTCCTTCTTCATCTTCAATTGACTCAACCCTAACCATGAATACTCTTCTTCATATTCTTACTATCAAATTAACCTCCTCCAATTATTTATTATGGCGAAATCAGGTTCCCCCCTTCCAAAGAAATTAATCATGGTTGAAGGTAAATCCACCATAAATCCAGCTTACTCCTCGTGGCTACACATAGATCAACAAATTCTCCTTTTTCTATAGTTATCTCTTACAGAGGAATCCATGGCCAATGTCCTTGTCCATACCACCTCTCAGTCCTTATGGTCTACCTTAGAAGCCGCATACAACCATGCCTTCGTAGAACGTGCTCAGAATATTAAGGATTCTCTCAGGAATTTGGAGAAAGGTACCTCTTTTGTGTGAGATTATGGAAAAAAATTTAAATCCTTGTGTAAGCAGTTAGCAGCCATTGGTCATTCTATCTCTGATGATGACAAATCTCATTAGTTTTTATGTGGTTTAGCTCATGCCTTTGAAACCTTCTACACAACCTATCAAGTGGTTCAACGTATACCTCCCTACAGTGATCTATTGGCCCAAGATGAAGGTCATGAATTTTTTGTCACATATCTTCATGGTTCTTCTACACCACAAGTAGCTTTTACTGCATCTCACCAGTCGTCTTCCCAACCAAACATTTCTCGTGGATTAGGTCGGTACTCTATACTAACCCTCATGATGACCTACTTCAATACCCAAGTAAAATGACAACAAGCCTAGATCACTCATCCCAAACTCCTTACTCATTTTTTTCTTAAAGACGTTTACTCCATCTTCATAATCACCAGTTATAATCAGATCCATGTAGATCCCAATTATCAAACTTTTCTCTTTGACTCTTCTAATTTACATTGCATACTCTTAAGGGCACCTCGTGAATATTATTTTCTTTAAACACTTATCTAAACATGAATTCCAAGATCTTAGAGCTTTACGAAGCCCATAAAGTGACTTGGACAGCTTGTACACTTATATTGGTTGATCACACTTTACATACCCCT